CGTGAAGAAGGGAGCAAGTTGCATGTGGGGAAAAAAACGCGCCTGATTTAAATGTCACACCTGAACGCTCACATCCTTTTAATTATGTTTGAAATTATGAACAATGCTCAACATCATGAAAATTAAACCTTATTTTCAATAAGCAATCCTGAAAAATATTTGGGGGTGCTTAACTTTTTTCCAGGTGTATATATTAACATGTCAGTCAACACGATCTTAAAACCTTGTTCTCATTTAAAAAACAAAAGACATTTGCTTCCATGAACTTTCCAATTCTTGTAGGAAAATACTTAGTGAAATTATTATTTCTTTTGATTGAAGTTAAGTATAAAGCCACACAATGGGCTATCTGTGCTCTGCCCACCACGGGTATCGAAATCCGGTTTCTAGCATTGTAAGTCTGCAGACATACCGCTGTGTCACTGGGGGATAGTAACGTTTCTACATCTTGATAATTATTTATTCTTTTTTTATATCACACCTAGTGATCTTGAGATTTATATGATAAATTACATCTCGACAGATACAGTGAGTGGCCGCTTTATTGCCTAATATAGGATTGGACTACTTTTCGCAGCTCAACTCGGCGTGGCATAAATTTCAATCATATTATGTAAGGTGCCTGATTCGATTGTACCCCTCTCGTCGAAGAAGGATGGACATAGGATTATGACGAGAAATGAAACGTTAAAAGTCATCCCAAAAAGCTTAATCAAACTGAGATTTGACGAAGTTGCTGTATTTCCTTTTTAAAATTTTGGACTTCAAGAGCATGACCGATTTTTCAATATCGTCTTGAAAGATCTTGTCCATCAGAGTGGAAATGCAACAGTGTGGTCGGCATGATGAAAACAATGTTCAGGCATATTCAGGAGGTTATTCGCCTTTTCTAAAGAAATAAAAAAACACAACTCTTACCACGAGAACATTCTTTATACCAGCATATATTTATTTTATTGCCAGCATACTAGTTATTAGAACACTCCTCTTGTTTCCTGTTGTTCAATGTTTACAGTTTGAGTTTCTAAATGGTCACCGAAGTTTTGCTTTTCTGTTTACAACTGAGATGAGAAGTTTTTGATTGGTTGTGGCTGTCACATGACAGTTTTTCTAATATTCCTTACCTAGTATGGGTAGAGGTCCTTTGAATACCTGTTACCCTTAATGAAACCTGTCTGTCCTTTGAAACACACTCGGATGCCTGTTACTCTTAATGAAACCAGTCTGATTATATTTTTCTTTGGTCAGTCACCAGTGGTTTGTAGCCATAGTTTTTCTTTGTAGAAGCAATGTTCTTTTTCGGTTGACACTAAAGGTAAAAAAAACAAAAGGTCAAAGTAACGATCCCAGATAACAACTCTTTTGTCAAGGACCTGTCATCATCCCTCTTTGAAACTCGAAGAGATTCTTTCTCATATCCATTCTCTTGCAGTGTTAAACGTTATATGACCAAATCACCGCAATAACCTTATAACACATTATACTTACTTTTCACAGCCGAACAGGTGATGTGTTCTACAAATATAGATATAAAAGTTTTAATACAGCGATCAGTTACTGTAGGATTAATAATAGTTATATAATCACTAATACCTATCAGGTGATAATATAAAACAGAGAGTTCAGTTTTCCATTGGCAAAAATTAAACTTACTGTTAACAGGACCGTTTTGTCCAATGGGCAAACGGGCCCACCGCGCGTTGCAAGTATGATAATAAATAATAAAATATAAAGTGAATAATAAAATAATAAACCAGCTTTTTAAAAAATATATTTTTCTTTATTATTTCCTTAATTTTTTTCATCGACAATAAATTTAATTTACCAGTTGTATGTACGACGATACTTTAGGGCCATTATAATTGTCGTTATTATAAATTTGCCTTTCGACGGGAAGAAGAAGGTGTGTGTGTGTGTGTTTTCTTATAGCAAAGCCACATCGGGCTATCTGCTGTGTCCACCGATAGGAATCGAACCCCTGATGCTAGCGTTGTAAGTCCAAAGACTTGCCGCAGTCCCACCGGGGGACGGAAGAAGAGGGGACAGTGGTATAAGTAAGCTTCGCAATCGTCCGTGCCAAAAGGAGTGGGGAAGGCAAATCATCCAGAATCGTAACTACAATTATAGGGAAATAAACGTAGGGGCCCACTTACATTTTATACTTATAAAGTAATAAAAAGTGTTTTTAAATTATGGGCTGTTTAAATTTTGTTTCGTTTGTTCAAAAGTAATGCAAAAAATACTAATTAGAAAGTGAAATCTCTCTAATTCTTGGTGTATATGTGCTTAAAATACACAAAGGCCACGTGAAAAACAATTTCCAAAAACAAGGTTTGTTAAATCAGGCCCTAATCGTGCACAAGTTTCTTTCATAAAGTTTCTAACAAGAAATCGGAGGTTTCGAAGTCATGTCATTTTACTGTATTTTGTAAGTATTTAAACCACAACGCAATTTACAACAGAAAAACAAAATATTTTCTAATTCACGCTGTAATTATATGTAGTCTCACAGAAAACGTGACCTATAAAAATTAAATATTTCTACTTTGACTTGTGTACTTATAGTATAGCGAGATGACATGAGTTAAACAATTGAAACAAGAGAGAATTCTCAATAGCCGCGGCACTTGAAATTCTTTTCGGCAGAATTAGAGTAAATTTATCTATGAGGTCTTCTTTTTATTCTATTTTATTAGCTATATTTTTCTGCGCCAACAATACCAAGCGTGGGGCGCATGCATACCCGATTCTGTTTTATTACTCATCAGGATCTCTACCAGCCTACCCTCAATTTGAAATTATTCTGGCAGGGTAAGAGCAAAGTAATGTATGAGACCTTGGACGTGATCAAATACATTAATCGAAAGGGTTTGACCTCCTGAGTTGAAAACTGCAATTAGATCTCAAATCGGTCAAGAAATGACAGAGCTATGAGCTAAAGGTTTGTACTTGAAAAGAAAGCAAAAAATAAATATAACTCAGAGCCGTTCTACGAGGCGCTACGCCGTTGCTAAAAAGAAAGGTTTGTTAGTCGTTACCTAATTATATTTTTACCTTTATTATAATATAATGCAAGAAAAGGGAGCCTACGAGGTGAAAGCTTTCGGCTTTGGCTTGTACATGGAGTACAGCGAAGTTTGTTTGTTGTTAACACAAAACTACACAATACGTTATCTGTTTTGTACCCAAAGCAGGCATTGAGCCTTATAAGCCCCATACTTACTGCGGAATCACCGGCGGAGGGGGACAAAGATTACAGCAAAGAAACTTCGAATTTTAGAAAATTAACTTTTTATTTTAGTTTTCATAATAACGAGTGTAATAGTTGGAAAAAAGAGGGATAAGTTAGTAAAAAGCTACGCAGATTTTGCGTTTAGAAGACACATAGTACGTAAAAGAAAGTGGCAGGCTTTAAAAAAAAATGTCCGTAAACTCTGCATTGGTTATGAAACCGATTTTTTAAAATTCTCTTCCATCAAAATTTACTTATAATTATCAGCTATATATAGCTATTCTCTAAATGACAAAAAAAATAAATTCTGCTTATAAATAAATAAATGTGTTGGTGTGTCTTACTTTTGAACGGAAGTGTTTTATTAAAAAAAGCAAGTCTTGCACGCCTTGTTTCGTTTTTCGGAATGGAAATATTGATTAATTAGTAAACTCTACAAGTTACAGTTTTGGAAGTGTTACAATCGAGATATTTCTTGTTTCCTTCTCATACAAGCTGATTGGATTTCGGCTTGTGCACTATAAATGTGCATAATTATGATAAATCTAGAACTGTTCGTTTGGATCGATGTATCATCCAATGAATTATTCATAGCATAATCACTGGATATCCAAGACAATTATTGTAAGCCTAATATTTAACAACCTTCTTCAAAATTCCCTTAATAATTAAGTCAATTTTACAGAAGTCGCCTGTGTAATTGACGTTATCTGGATCGAGTAGCAACACATTTCAATTATATTGGAAAGTAAAAATACACTCGTCAAGAATGGGTCATTGTTTTTAGAAATAACTCTGTAATGAAATTAAAATGTATTTCTGTTTAAATGTAAGATAAAAAGAAAAAAAAAAAGAAAACGAATTTTTGGTTTCTATGAGTCATTAGGTGAGGCTTAAGTTGTTCTGAGAAATCGTATTCACAGCTTGTACATTTGTACAGAGGGTTAAGTAAGTTAATGAAAAAGATTTTGAATATGGAAATCGGCAAGTCGCAGCTGATCGTGGTGGAACGGTATATATTAGAACTACATTTTGGCATTGTTTGGCGTTTCGTATGTACTGTGTTACCATAGAACATTAAATCATTTCGGGAAGGGTATGCTATATCCCCTTCTGACAGAAAATGTTTACATACTCAGATCTTTAAGCTGTGTTTAGATAAAAGGTATAGGATTTCCTATACTTGAATATGTCTTGTACGTATGGATTAATTTGGGGCCGAGGACCCCCAAGGAAGAGACTTGCAATAATTCGTAATATCAAAATCGTGGTAAGCAAAGTGTAGCCGCTTGTAACAGATAACATTATGCAGCATAACCAACAAGTATTTTCATCTAAAAAAACGACACAAATCACAAGTACACGCGTTGATTCTAGAAGTCCGTTCAACCAGCGTATACCTCAAACAGCTGGAGAAAGAAACAGTTATTCTTTTGATCGTACTGTTGAAACGAGCGCTTGGAAACCGTTGTCTACCTCCTACACTAGATATATTATGGAATGAAGCAAGGAGGAAGATTGTGCTTTGAACATGATGACTTACGACAGAACCATTTGCGACGGAACTACGCTGTAAGGCTATTATCAAGATGCACAATTGTCAGATAGATTATTAGCGGATATGGTGATATAGACTGTAACGACATGGTAATGCTCCAAACTCGTTTTAATATAACGTACTAAACCTTTCAATATTCATAATAGCATTAAAGACGATTAATCACGCAAGTCTTATCTGAGTAAAAGAAAGTAGACACAAATGCTTACACTAATGTAAAGTAAATTGGTTACAACACTCTGTACTAGTGTAAGAAAGTGGTTAGAAAAGCTCGTACTAATGTAAGAAAGTGATTACAAGACCCTGTACTAATGTAAGAAAGTGGTTACAGAAGTCTATATTCATGTAAGAAAGTGGTTACAATACACTATACTAATGAGAAAGTGGTTACAATACTCTGTAGTAATGTAACAAAGTGGTTACAGGAGTCTATATTCATGTAAGAAAGTAGTTAAAATACTCGATAGTAATGTAAAAAGTGGTTACAAGACTCTGTATTAATGTAAGAAGGTGGTTACAGGACTCTATATTAATGTAAGAAAATGGTTACAATACTTCATAATAATGTAAGAAAGTGGTTACAAGACTCTGTATTAATGTAAGAAAGTGGTTACAAGACTCTATAATAACGTAAGAAAGTGGTTACAAGACTCTATAATAATGTAAGAAAGTGGTTACAATACTCTATAATAATGTAAGAATGTGATTACAAGACTGTACTAATCTAAATCAGTGGTTACAAGACTCTGTACTAATGTAAGAAAGTGGTTAAAAGACTGTACTAATGTAAGAAAATGGTTACAATACTCTATACTAATGTAAGAAAGTGTTTACAACACTTTTTAAAAATGTACAAAAGTGGTTACAATACTTTATAATAATGTAAGAAAGTGGTTACAAGACTCTGTACTAATGTAAAAAAGTGGTTACAAGACGCTATACCAAGGTAAAAAACTAGTTACAAAACTCTGTACTAATGTAAGAAAGTGGTTAAAATACTCTATAATAATGTAAGAATGTGGTTACAAGACTGTACTAATCTAAAAAAGTGGTTACAAGACTCTGTACTAATGTAAGAAAGTGGTTACAAGACTAAGTACTAATCTAAGAAAATGGTTAAAATACTTTATAATAATGTAAGAAAGTGGTTAAAAGAGTGTACTAATGTAAGAAAATGGTTACAATACTCTATACTAATGTAACAAAGTGGTTACAAGACTCTGTAGTAATATAAGAAAGTGGTTACAATACTTTATAATAATGTAAGAAAGTGATTACAATACCTTATAATAATGTAAGAAAGTGGTTATAATACTTTATTTTATAAAGTATTGTTATCACTTTCTTACATTACTCCAGAGTCTTGTAACCACTTTCTTACATTATTATAAAGTATTGTAACCACTTTCTTACATTATTTAATGTAAGAAAGTGGTTACAATACTCTATAATAATGTAAGAATATGGTTAGAAGACTGTACTAATCTAAGAAAATGGTTACAATACTTTATAA